CCTCCACGGAGCTGTTCAGCCCTCCTATGGCTGCAGAGCTTGCACACTGAGAGCGAGCACCACCAATGCGACAGCCCTGTGCTTACAGCCACACTCTGGAGGCCGTGACAGACCAAGAGCAGCCCTGAGTCCGCTCTGCCCCACGTCCCGCGGACAGCTATAGCTCTGAGGTTCCCACCCCACAGCCAGTCCTCAAACACGGGCCAGTCCCTCAAGACCTGGGATGCACTGAACGCAATTCCTCACCACCTGCCAGGTGGCTGAAGGGCAGGGAGGGGCAAAGGAACCCAACTTGCCAACCGGCTCCGCCAGCGCCAGGAGCAGGAGGCTGCGGGAGGCAGTGAGGCGGGCCACCCGTGTCACCCACAGCTGCGCCCCATCCTGCTCTTCCGGCTGGGAGGCAAGCTGCACGAGCAGCTTCTTGCACCCACACTTTAGCAGAACCAGACTAAATATAGCCCTGAGTGCTCTCATGATCCAGCCCAGAGCGGGTGGCACTGCCACACTGCACTTCAGAAAACGAGGGAGGAATCAGCAGGATTTACAAGAAAGCAGCTCCCCTCTGCTTGCTCCTGTGGTTTCATATGCAAGAACCAACTGGGCCGAGGGGAATGCTGATGGTTTGGCCAAGCAGATAACAGAGCCCCTAGGAAAAAGAAAATGGCAGCCGTGACTTAGGCGCCTTCTCATTCACCTTCCTGTCCACAGGGCTGAGTAACCACATCGCCAGAGTGTGGGAAAAACCCACCAGGAGGCGCACGCTATACACACACTGCTGTTCATGCCCGGCCCCATTCCCAGCCCATCTAAATCCAGCTCAAAGACTCACTCAGTGCTCCTCCCTTGGTTAGGCCATCCTCAGCCAGCTCAGAACTAAATGCTCCATTTGTTCTCAGACCTCCCACATCATGCTGCTTGCACTTTTATTTAGCGCTCGTATCATTCAGCTAATCCGCTTCTCTGTCTCCTTCACCAAAGTGGAGGTTGGGGTGTGGGATGGGGTGGTGAGGGGGCTCCCCACCCTCCTTCGTCTGATCACCCACCAAATCCAGCAGAGTTCCTTGCATCTGAGCAGTGCTTACAAACCAAAAATGCAGAACCTGCCTGAATGCCAATGAACAAGAAAGCAACAGCCCCTTCTCCCAATAAAGCAAATTCACAGCACCTGGGGGTTCAAGCTCAGGCTTCAGGTTCCCAGCCGTCCCTCTTGTGACTAGTCACCATAGCAGCCTCGGTGACCCAGGATTGCAGACCCAGCCACCCCAGCGAAGGTTTCCACCATCTCCCCTTCTGAGCACGAATGCTTGTTTCTTCTGGCAAAGGAGAACAGCTAGGCGATGAGGAAGGGTGGAGGAAAGGACTGGAAGGGTGGGGTGGCGGGAGGCAGCAGAGGGATTAGACTGAGCCCTGTCTGCGTGGGCAAAGAGTCTCCAGGGGAGACAGGAGTGGGAGGAACCCATGTCACAGCAAGTTTCCAATGGGGATTTGAGGCCCCACTTCTTGTTCACAGTCACTGCATAGGAATTTTCGATCATGGGCGTTTAGTCTTCATTCTCAAGTCCTAAGTCAGAGTGATTAACAGGAGCTGCCAGGGCCGAAGAACAAAATGGAAAGAACCAAGAAGAAGACCCTCAGTGCTACACGAAATGGATGGGAACTGGGAGCAAATGGTTTCACCGTGGTGCTGCAGGGTAAGTACCCACGGGCAAACTTGTCCATGGTCCCACTGCTTTTGCGTCTACTCTGAGGATGAGACAGTTGGGAGGTCTCCATTACCCCACCCAGGAATCCACTTATTTCCCGTTCATCCATGCAAGCTTCACAGAGAGCTTTGATTTCTTTCTACCCTAAAGCAGTTAGAAAAGGTAGCAGGAAACTATAGGGAAGCTAGCACGGAGAGGGTCATGCAAGGGTAAGAGGAAGTCACCTCCCCTTGCTTCCTGTGCCAGAAAGGGGGAGTGCATCTGAATAACGCACCTGGTCTCTCTGCATCCCTCTGTGGACTATCCTCAGGACGAAGATGACGAGACCGAGGCACAAGACCATGAAAGGCACAAGGCGTGGGCAACACAGCCACCTCCGCCCCTGGGTCCCGCCTGACTGCTGCAGAAGCCCGTAATCTCTGGGCTCCCAGGGTTTGCAGGGTGATGGAGGAAGGTGCCCCTCACCTCACTACCCAACAGAAAGCCACAAAAAGTAACCCTCGAGGTACCAGTAACACTTTCACCATCCACCATTACTCCTTTGAATCTGTGACTTATTTCTCAATTCACCTTAAGTACTCAGCATTTACTTGCTCCCAAAGCCCACTGCCTACCATGACTCCTCCTTGCTACAAGTTTTTGAGTCTCCCTCTTTCCCCTGAACACTTTTTATCACTTAGTCTTACCCAAGGGTAGTTTTTTCACTCTTACAGCAGAAAAACTACAGAATCTGAGCACCAAATGATGTATCAGAAGTCATCTGATAAGCCAATTCATTCACGAGAGGCGGGCAATTCAGCTGCCCTAGCGTGTCATATAGACATTTGTCATTTAGAAACCCTGTGGTGGGGTGGCTGGGTGACAGTGGTGAAGAGTGGAAATCATTCGTGAGACAATTACTGTGGGCCTCCTAAGTGTCAGGCACCATTCTCAGAATAGAGACGAACACAACACTGTCTCTGAGGAACCAATCCACGTTTTTCCTCTTCTTGTATAATATTGCAATATACCTCTGTCAAGGGTAACATGGCATCAACAGCCATGGCCATCTACAGGGTCTGTCTATGGAAAATGGACGGGTCTCTGGTCCCTGCATGCTACCTAGAGGTCCTTGTTCTAGTTTAAAAATTTTTAAAAAGTACAATGGGTGCCAACATGATCCCAACTCAATGCAGACCATGGGGTGAGACCCTGCTGTAGTCTGAAAAGCACACCTCCAAGCCACCCAGTTGTCAGAAGTGCAAACTAAAGCATCGATCACAATTAGGCTGGGAAACATATATCAGATGTCTTAATTTGGAGACAAAACCACAACTCAGGGTAACCGTAAAACACTAAACAAAGGGCACCTCTTTTTTATCTTAAATTTGAAGCTGCAGATTCAGCAAAATGAGTGAGCGCCTCACTGGCAATTAACAACATTACAAGTTCAAGTTTACTTAAGAGAAAGGTTACACGTTACAAAAAGCTTCTAATTTGTTACTAATTAGAAAAACCAGCTGGCATGAATAAGTGAAAATGTGGGCTAGAAAACGTGCCAACTACTGTGATTTTTTTTTTAAGGTGAGCAACAGGAGGGAGTACAGGTAACATTTACTGACAATGTGAGTTCCAGGCACCCTTCTCTAAAACCTTTCCTTTATGGAATCATCACAGCATTCCCAGGAAGTAGAGTAGTGAGCCTATTTTTTTCCAGATACGGAGACTCAAGGTCAGATATTAAGTAACATTTACCCATTTACCATATTTCTCCCTCCGCTTCCTCTTGCAAAATTCCTAATTCTCTGCATCAGTGTTTCTCAAGAAGTTTGGGTAAACTGCTCCTCGCCTGTCTTGACTTGGGAACTTCGTATGAAATCATCGTGCACTCCACTGAACATTGCTGGGCTATGAGTACAAAATATAAACAGCAGCCCTGGTAGCAGCCCCTACACATGGCAGTGGAAGACGGACAAAGTCACTTCTGGCAGCAGATGAAAACTACAGATCTCAAGAGTCTTTGAACATCAAAAGACCGATGAGGAGAGCATCTCCTTTAAAAGTATCCACTTTCCAATGTTTCAAAAGTCCCTTATTTGATGGCTTTGAGCTCCTAAGAAAAATCCAGGCACCTTATGAAAGGGTTATAAAAGCCACCTGAATATATTTGCCCTGCTCTCAGGGGCATTTTTTTGAGTACCTATCACGGCCACCTACTGTTGTTATTGGCTGGGAAGATAAAGTCAGAGTATCTGATCTCCACCGGCAAGGTGCCTGGAGTCTAATGAGAGGCACATTGGTGTAGGATGGATTTCGGCACAGGTGTCAGACAAGCTCTGTGTAGGATGCCCCTGGAGTACTGGGAAGGTGGAGGGACTGGGAAGGTTGGTACAGGTTCCCAGAGGAAGTGAGGGTTTGTTTTTGTTCTTTATTTTGTGGGCCCAGTCAATGTTGAGAAAACTGCCTTTGCAAAGAACAGAGATAGGAACCATATTTGCACCAAAGTTTAAAGCACCTCCTTCATTCTTCAAGTTGAGACCTCAGTGATTCAGGGTTGCTATCTCCTGCTTACCAGACAGGTTCTTTAGTCAAATAAGTCACTAGAAAGTAAAATAAGCTCTCTGTAGCCCACATGCACTTCCTCTCAGAGCTCTTGTTTTTGCAAGGTCTGGCTTCACTGGTATAATCACCCATAAGATAAGAAATATGACTAATTCTAGGCTTCTTACAGTGAACAGGAAACTGAGTCAAGAACACCATGGAATGCCAACAGGTGGGAGTGCCCCTCACTTGGGGACACAGGAGAGTGCTGCAATAGTGATCCGTGTCACCTGAAGGGTGAAGTGGAAGGGAGCCTGGTCACCCTTTTTGATTTGTAGCATCTTAAGTCTTGTCTTGCTATCAGTTGTAACAATGGAAAAAGCCAGATTCTCTTTCTATATGTGCGTGTGTATATATGTATGTGGGGAGGGAGAGAGAGAGAGAGAGAGAGAGAGAGAACATCATTTTTGTTGATTCAGCTGGGAGAGCCAACTGGGATCTTCGAACCAGAGAAAGCCCAATGGCAGTATTTTCCGGAGCTGAAGGATGGCCAGTATAGGTAGCTGTTGCTACCTCGGGTTGTTAAGGCAGTAATTATAAGGAAAGCAAGAGTCGAATGATTTCAGTTTTTCTCTCCTGGGGCAGGGAAGGGAGGCAAAAGCCAACAAGCCTTAGGGCTCCACCAAGTCTCTGGCCTACAAGGAACAGGCTCATTTCCCCTTGGCAAGGAGCCTGGTGAAGCTGGCAGGCATGCCCTCCTTTCTTACCTCAGTTCTCCCGGGACCTCATGCTCCCTTGGGAACCATAACTCAGGCATCAGAAACCTTCTGGCCCACATGTTCCTCCTCCCTCAGCAACTACACTCCTCAGCAAGAAAAACCTGTGTTCCAAACTAGGTGAACCTGCGATAAATATCCCGGAATCCCTCACAGATCATCTGGTCCGCCTCTCAACCAGGAAGTTCAAAGGACGCTGGGCTGTACAGCCAAACAGCAAATCCAAAACTCAAAATGACGTGAGCCAAGAGGAAGGTGGTTTTTCAATAGGGTTCACCCAGTGGAACTGGTTGGCTGTCCTTTTTTTCCCCTGGCCGAGGCCCCCGGCTTCCTGTAGACGGTGCTAACCCTGGGAGGTCTGTCCAGACGTGGGCAGGTGTGGGGCATGTCACCCTCTGGGCATCTGCTGTCGCCGCCGCTGGGGCCCTGGACCCAATCGTGGTCCACGGTCCGGATGACGCACCTGGCCAGGGTCCCGTCCACGTGCGGGGCCGAGAGCGCGTCCCCAGCTGGGGGACCCCGCGCCTGCCCGCAGGGAGGGGGCAGGAGGGCACCTGGGGCTCCAGCCTCAGGGCTCCCGCGGTCCCCAGCCGGGCATCGGGTTGCAGGAGGAGCGCGCTTCTCGCCACCTCCTGCCGGGCGTCCAGCGCATCTCCCAGTCTGCAGAGCGTCTGAGTGGGGCGCGTGGCCTGCGGGCTCAGGTGAGTGCCGGGTGCTGCAGGAAGAGGGGACCCCGGCTCCGCTACCCCCTCTCCTCTCCGCCCCACGTCTCTGGGCTTCGTCAGGGATGTGGACGGGTGCGCGAGTGAAGAGGAGCTTCACGTGCCCCGAGCGTCCCTTACCTTCCACAGCCATTCTGTCAGAGGTGCCCTAAAGCATGCATAATTGTCTTGGCCGAGGAACTCCTCCGGCCCGCGCGCCCCCCCTTCTCGCGCCCGCGCCTAAATATTCTGCGCTGCTGGGCTCCGGGACCAACCTGCCGCGGTCACGCGAGGCAAGCAGCGGCTCCGGCTCGGCGCGGGGCAGCCTGGGAGATGTAGTCCCTCTCAGCGTGGGGCAGCCTGGGAAATGTAGTCCTCTCCACGTCGCGCCCCACGGGGATAGCTCAGGTCCCCCTCCACTTCCCCACCACACTCGGATAGCAGCTTGGGGGCTTTCGGGCCCACATCAAGCAATCCCTCGTGGACATTTGGAGTGGAGACTGGGGGACTCCGGGCGCCCCGGCCAGTTGTGAGGACTACATCTCCCAGGATGCTCTGCGCGGTCTCCTTGGGTGCTAAGAGGTGGGGCGGGCGAGTGAGACTTTCGCTGTCACTCAGAAGCAGCCGGGCACCTGGCCGCGTGCGGCCGGAGGCTGCGAGCGCCCGGGATTGAGGTGCAATCTCTAGGTTGGACCCTGGGCCACCTATCCAAGCCCCCTGATATCTGTGGTCCTCCATCCATCTGGGCCAGTGACCCGCTGCTCAGGGTGCTGTTCACACTTGTTCCTTGGCACCCTGGGACGTGTGGCGTTTGTGGAGAATTCCGCCAGTAGACACCTCGGTCTTCTGATCCTCCGCGGCGGCTTCGGTGACCAAAGACTGATAGGAATGGGTGAATAGGGAGTGGCTTCGAAATCACCAACAGGCAACATTCCCTAGGAGCAAAGTCTAGGAGCCTGGGTTCCACTGCAGGACGTCACACCATGAAAAATACCTGACTTCTAAAGGAGGCAGGTTGCAGCCTGCCTGGCCTGCAACAGGCCTGATAATGAACCAGTGTTCTTTCAACTTCGGAACCATGCTCTGCATTCAGGTGCTGGTGACACTGTAAGTAGAAAGGATAAGGGAACCACGTGGATGGCAATAGACAGGTAAATATTGTTTAAAAATAAGCTCCCACACTTTATGCTCCTGCATAAGGAAATACAGGTGCAGTTATGACTGGTAGGGGTACTGAAATGGTCTTGGGAACAAATAGAGCTCAAGACTGGATTTAGACTTTGAAAGGACTTGAGCTCAAAAATGCATCTGGTACCGCACCCACTTATCCCCCAACTTTTCTGTCCATCCTCTTCTAGGTCTTTATTTAAAAAAAAAAAAAATACTCTGCAGAAGAAGGAAGTACAAATATCTGATTCTTTCTATGAGTATGTAAACAAACTTTATCTCAATCATAAGAAAAAAATGCTTTACAAAAGTTTTGTTTCTGAGTACATATGTGTTTTTTTAGTCTCTAAGTATGTGCTTAGTCTTCCTGTTGGATAATATGACTCTGTATAGGTACCTTTTAAATTAAATACATGTAACCATTAAATACACTCAGTGATACATTAACTCTGAGTCCATGGAACTGTGTGCAAATTAAATCTGAGGTTTCAAACCTAAGTACAGTAGAGACATACCTGTCCAGAGAGATACAATTTTCATGGGAAAAACAATCTTCCAACTTACTGTGTAGCCAGGCATCCTGAGATCTGGAGAGAACTGAAATTCAGGTGCTTTCCTCCCACCTCCTGTATTTAACATCGTCAAAGTGTTAGGTCTTCCTTGAGTTTGATGAATGGAAAAGAAAACCATCGGGCAGCCAATGTCAGTGGTCCGCAACCCTGGCTGTACATTCACATATCCCTTAAATCCCACCTTAGTCTCACAGAATTAGGCTCTCTGGGGATTTCTATAGTGGTATTTATTGACTGATTTATTTTGGTGCTGAGGATTGAACCCAGGACCTTTGCAATGAGCTACATCTCCAGCTCCTTCTTAATTTTTATTTTGTGGCAGGATCTCACTAAGTTGCTCGGGCTGGCCTCAAACTTGCAATCCAACTGCCTCAGCCACCCAGAGTGCTTGGATTACAGGTATTACTACAACACCCAGATTAAAGCACAGATATTCTAATCTTCAGCAAGTCTTGAAACCATTGGTATATTTTCAATAAGGACCTGGACAATATTAAAATTTACAAGTCATTGAAATCCGCTGTTAATGGGAAACTTCATTTTATGCTCAAGTCTTTAATATCTTTGCCAACAGATGAGCATGCCAATTGAATTTCATTTTCATTATAAATATAAATAAGATGTGAAGGAAATATTAGTTTGAACCATATGAAATAGCCTATGTTTGACTATTTTTCAAACCAATAAATAGAATAACTTCATGTGGTTCAACCTAATAAAAGATAAACATCCATTAAACAGAAGTTTTCATTCCTCTCTGAAATTTGAATCATCTGGGATGCTTTGAAAAAATATATGTAGTTCTTAACAACATGGCCAAAATAAAAAAGACAGAAAATACCAACTCTTAGCAAGACTATGAAAAGGGAAGAACTCGTATATTGTTGGTGTTATGTAAGTAGATGCAATCACTTTGGAAAACCTTTTGACATATTAAGCTGAATATTCACTTATCCTGTAACCTAGCAATTCTGCTTCTGGGAGTAAACAAACAACATGTATATTCACATTCTACAAAAGATATGCAGAGGAATAGTCTTGGCTACATTGTTTCCAATAGCCCTCGTTGGGACATAGCCCAAGTACACATGAATGGTAGATTGGATAAATGAACTGTGGTTTAACTAAACAGTCTGATTTAGCAGAGGTCAACAAGCTAGGGCGCTATGCCAGTGGGACAAATATGACCCACCACCTATTTATGTGTGGTTCATCTGCTAATGATGATTTCTACATTTTTAAATGGTTAGGGTGTAAGTATAATATTTTATAATTCCTGGAAATTATACAGAAGTACTTACATAATACCCTCAATTTTGTTTCATGGTCTACAAAGCTTAAAATGTTTCCTGACCGGCTCTTTTCAGAAAAAAAAAAAAAATTTTTTTGCCAAGCCCTGCTCTAAAGTAATGAGAATGAATGAATTAAAACTGTTTAATAACATAGATGAACCACAGGTGTATTAGTTATTTCTTGCTGATAACAGATTACACCAAAATTTAGTATCTGAAGACAATATCCATTTGTTATCTCGGTTTCCGTGGATCAGTAATTTCAGCATAGATACCATCAAGCCATCTACAGGCTGGAATGGGGAAAGATCAACTTTCAAACTTGCATGATTTCTGGCAGAAATCTGCTCCTTACAGGCTGTGGAACTGAGGACATCGGCTCCTTGCTGAGTGTTTGGTGGAGGCGACCCTCAGTACTTAGCCTCGGTAGCCTCCCAGCATGGCAGCCTGCTTCATCCAAGTATGCAAGCCAAAAAGGTTGCCAAAATATCTGCTACCAAGATGAGAGCCATGGCCTTTGCAATCTACTCATAGAAATGCCACCCCTCATATCCTGTTAGTTAAAGCTAGTTATTCAAGAAGAGGGGATTGGACAAGGCCAGAAATACCAAAAGATGGAGATCACCGGGAGGCTCTTAGAGGCTGCCTACTGAGACACACAGCAGAGTGTTGAACAGAAAGGGCCAGACACAAGAAAGGACAGAGTACAGTGATTCCATTTATTTACTAAGTTGTGGCCTTAGGTATCAAGACGGTGGTTCCCCTCACTGTGGAATGGAAGCCACACAGAAGAGTTAGGGACTGGAAGGAAGAGCCCAGGAGGACATCTGCAGTCTCGCTCTTGATCACCACGTGGTTTACACGTGTGTACCCTGTGGCTGGTGTACATGTGAACGTGTGAACTGTACTGTGTGCATGTGAATGTGGCTTGAGGTGGATGCTCTATTCATGATTTGTGGAAGCTTATGTATGTTACATCCAATAACATTTTAAAGTAATTAATGCTTAGCTGAAATATGATAAATGATCCCTTTATCAACACTCTTGTTTCATGTGCTTCCTCTTGATTTTCCTTTACCATAAAAAAGTCATGGTTTGGCCGGGGATTTAGCTCAGTAGTTTTGCTGCCTGCCTTGCAAGCGCAAGGTCCCGAGTTCGATTCCCGGTACTAAAAAAAAAAAGTCCTGGTTCAATTGTCTTTCATATAACAAGGATGTTTTCATGGTTTACTATGTGTCAGGCACTCATTTAGGCACTTGGGATATCTGATAGCCTGAATTTCCAGAAATAGCCCTGGAGATTTCAAACTATAAACCTTGTGTGGGCATTGTGGCGTAAAGCACCACTGATCCTACAAGAACATTATCCGTGTGGGTCTAAACTAATCATGTGAGCCCTTAAAATTGGAGAACCTTCTCCAGCTAGTAGCAGAAAAGGGAAGGGAAAGTAGAACTGCAGAAGATTCTAGGCATGAGAGAGAATCAATACTCTGTACTCCTCTGAAGATGAAAGGGGTCATATGTGTAGAGATGGCGGTGACCCTGGCTACCAGCTGCTGAGGTCACAGGAACCTTGGTCCTACAGTTGTTATCCCAGCACCCTGGGAAGCTGAGGCAGGAAGATTGTAAATGAGGACTCAGTCTGGGCAACTTGGCCACTTAATGAGACCTTGTCTCAAAATTTAAAATTTTATTAAAGGGCTAGGAACGTAGCCCAAGGCAAAGGCCCCCAGTTCAATCCCCAGTACCACACACACACACACACACACACACACACACACACACACACACAGAGAAAGGAAAAAAAAAAAAGAAACAAAACCAGATTCTGCCAATAACTTGAAACCTGAATGAGCCTGAAAGAGGGCTCTTCCCCAGGGACTTCCGATAAGCATCTAACCCAGATGACAACCTATGTAGGTCTTGTGAACCCCGAGCAGGGAACACAGGTGTGCCCTCCCAGATGGCTGAGCTGCAGAACAGTGAGCTCATAAATGGTATTTTTTAGGTTGTTAACTTTGTGATAATTTGTTCTGCAGCACTAGAAAGGAAGACAGGATGAGTCCTGTACAAAGGGTCCAGTCCTGTTATCCTGGCCCTGTTTTTGAGGGTGGAGGAGGTTAAAAATAATGATGAGATTGGTAACACATCTGATTTACTGACAAAGCAAATCAGAACCTCTGGAGGTAGAACCCTCCCTCTGGGGGATTTTTTTCCTAGTACTTCCAGTGATTCTAGCCTGCAGCTTGTATTGCACAACACTGCTAGACACAGAGAACACAACGCC